TGTATTTCTGAGTACTTTGATATGATAAAATATTTTTCCCATATTTATTTTGACTGTACTACTCATTTAAAGAAAATGCTTTCCTTCTGACGGACCCTATATATTATTATAATCCGCGTTGCGGAAGGGCTGTACCTCAACGTTAGACTTTTACCTGGTGTTTGGTTTATCTCAGTCCCCATATTGCTTGTTTGAGTGCTTAGTCCGAATCTAAGGTTTGTTAAGAGACGATCAGACAAAAAAAACTTATGGGAACTGAAAAGGTCCAACTGAAGCTTTACTTTTCAGTCTCAGTTACTTGAATTTGGAAAGTTCTTAGGAAAGGTCTTTAGCTTCTCATTGAGAAATATGAATATCAAATTAATTAAATTACTTCCAAATCTTTTTATTGGATAAATATAGTGATAATGACATAATAGCAGTAATTTCCGAATTATGTCAACTAGGCATTTACTTTTAGCCAATAATTTGCTTGGATCACAGCAACGATTTAGAAAAATCAAGTTGAATTTGAGCAAGGTCTCCCACTATTCCCAATATCAGATATTCTGCCATTGCTGCTGCTTGATGAAGACAACGTTTTGTATTTTCCACCTTCCAAAATCACGATTTAAGTGAAGTTGTTAATATGATATACTGTAAATAGATATTTACTTTACTATTTAATTTAATAATAATAAGTGAATGATTCACATGACAAAGCAGATAGTATTTCTGTTAAATGTGAGTTGGTAATTTCGTCAATTGCAATATCCTAAAATACTCTACCCGGCTTTCCTGTAACCCTGTATAACAGAGCAAAAACTTGATGGTATCTATCTGGCACATCTTGAAAAATATCGTGAGAAGCTAACTCCGTAAGCAACTTAGCCTCATGAAATAGCGTTCCCTGAAGCGTAAGCTCCAAAAATAAGTCAGTGTGAAAAAGATCTTACCCGAAGTTCCCGTCACAGCCAGTGCCCATACGTGTACGTTTTACGGTAGTAAACGAGCTTCGGAAGTTGTGTTTAAACACCGCAGAGGGCTATAAACAGAGCATAATGCGACGTCATGACGTAATGCACCACGCCGGGCACGGAAAAAACGACGGGCCAGGCGACTCCGGCCGTTTTGCGAAAACCGAATGTGTTTGCCGTTTGGTCGTTACTCAAGTCCATCAGAGGGTTCAAGATTACGTTTGCATGCAGTTTTTGAGTTAAACCAGTAACGGGTCCAGGGAGCATCTATCCGTGATTTTTGTGGGGAATCAACCTGTGCCACGCTCCTTTTTTTTAATTAAAATCACTTTTTAATTTTAAGCTAAAGTTATTTCTCTCAATTGAGGCAATGGATGATTAAAAAAAAACTAGGGGGTTACTGAGGCTAAAGCTGTGGTTTAGCGTTGGTAAATTAGGCCCTATGCTCAGGTACACCGGAGAGTAGGGGGGTATTTTTTAGGGGCGCCACCAGCTTTTATCCGCCAAAACTGGAAGACGCCTTGGTGTTGAAAGGCATTCTTTAGCCCAAAACCCCAAGAAACAAAAACAAAAATACATACAAACAATAGATTTTCTGTGTGGGTAAATAATTAATATAAATACATTTTATTACATCTACTAACGGCTAACAACAAAAATTTAAGCCAGCCAAACTAGGAGATCTCCCTTAATGCGAAAGCTTATTGACTAACTAATTTAAAATGGGCGAGGAAGGTTTCAAAACCGATGACGTAAGAATCCCTATGGTGGAAAAAGGGTCTCTGTTCGGAAAGAGGTCTCCGGTAGAAAACGTGTCTCCAGTAGCGAAGATTCCCCCAAAATAAAAACCCTAGATGATGTCGGGTAGGGTTTTTCACGTGGTTCCGTCTGGCGAAAAGTGCGGCTGGAGACAATAAGATCCTACAAATTGTAGAATTTCTCGGTTCCATGGGAAGACAAAAAAAAAAGATGCTACGCACTCACAACAGGAATGACCCAGGAAATTATCTATGAAATTTTTTTCCACAATCCAACGAAGATGCCCCAGGCAAAAAAGGAGGAAAATTTCGGGTCTTCTGGCACTAACGGAACAGAACAAGATGGCCCTCCGATAGTGGAAGGAAGTCCCCTCCCAAAATTTTTGTACGCCTGACCATTAAGAGCCAAACGTTGTCGGCTAATCCCAAAATGAGAAGGTTCCTAATATAAATTTAAGGAAATATCGTGAATAAATGTGGCAACACTGTCATATCTGCATATAAATTTGATTGATTAATAAACATAAGGAAATTCTGAAATAAAATTGGCAACTATGCGGAACAAGCGAGGTGTGCACATAGTTCGGTACGCAGAATAGTACCTCGACATCAGCGACATCAGCCTTTGACATTGGAAGATTTCAGAAAACAATAATAAATTCATTTGACTATAAAAGAAATACATAGTTCAATAGGTGAGTAATAATATTTATGCAACACAAATAGTTTTTAATTCAGAAGGTGATATCAATTTATAGATGTACATTTATTTATTTATTTATTTTTAGCTCCGGAGTGACAAACCGGATTGTTGTTGGGATGTAAACAAATCCCCGCGGCGAAAATTTCGAGATTGAATTGATTTTTTGACGGTGGAAGATCTAGCATGGGATGGAAGCAACCGAGTTATTTATGAAAATATGTGGGGATGAATACTAAAATTATTACTCATGGTGAACCAGGGAAATTACTAGGCAACACAAGAAGAAATTGTCCATATCAGGGTGAGTAAATTCTTCAACTAATTACCTGAATGCATGGAAAATTGACTACACATTTATAAACTTAGTGGTAGAAACTGTAAAGATGATCAAAATGAAGTGCGATTGCTGTACGTTAAATTTAATAATTGAAATTTTTTGATTATAAAATAGATCAGGATGGATTATGTTTAATTGATTGAGAAATATTTGGTTTCAGTTCCCAAATTGTTCAGTGACATGGAAGATGCTGACTACTATATACAGGCAGCCAAACGACTACAGAAGAAAAACAACGGATACAAATTAAAAATTATAGTTATTCCGTGGTATTCATGTGTTATGTTTGTTATTTCAAATAAACATGATAATAGGTAAATGTCTGCGTGTTATTTATTTTGTTTATGAATTACGTGAGAAAAATATAGCTGAATACACCGTTAAAAACAAGCCCTATCTTGGGAAATGGCCAATGGGCCGGTCTAGTCATTTTTGTCAATAAAACTGATTTAATAATATGCTATGAATAAAAATAATATGCTACGGAGATTATTAGATTAGATTATCGGCTTTTGTTTCTTCCTTCTCAAGTTCTTGCTGCATTACTTTCAAATTAAACCTGTGCAACAACAACAACAACAAAAAAATATGATTCATCGGCAATAAAAGGCAACTGTTACACCTGGAATACATAACGAGTACGCGCTGAGTTGAAACTCTGTGAAAGAAAAAGGTGTTTATCGGTGTTACACGGTGTCCATAAAACGTTAAGGTATTCAGTGGTTTTTGACGGTGGGGTCAGAGAGTGTGCATGTCACATGTACACGTGTTCATGAATTCCCTCTTGCATATACTCTTCGTATAAGTCTACGATATCTAACTTACGTGTAGGCCTTAGGCCTACGTGGAGGATCAATGGAAAAATGCACCAAAAGTCTTGCCGCACTCGCCATTTCTTTGAACAGTCGGCCAAGATGTCAGCTCAGCAGTAAGCACCTCGATTGGAAGTTTTCCATAGAAGTCATTTGACTAGATAATAGGCATCAAAATCATCCAGGAAGCTACAGTCAACATTAGCCGGTATATCCGTATGATTTGGGGTGTGTGTAGAAACCTCTGTCCAATACCTTCAACAATATTTTCTTACAGAAATTAATTTCCACTGTGTTCTTGTTCTTCCAATTTTGATTCTACTAGGCAACGCTAGTGTGGTTGGAGGCCAAAATGACAAAAATAGATGGGACAGAGACAAATGTGACAGGTTAAGGCGACCTGTATATGCTTTGTGGTTCACAGGGTATTTGAGGTGTGGAAAAAATGAAATTTCAAAGTGTCGTTTCTCTTTTATTCTTCCGATTCCATGCAAAACGCGCCTTAAGCGGTTCTTGACCCTAGACATGATCGCCAACCTAACTAGCACCTTCTACTTCTAGTTTTTCAGATAACTTCCCACTGCTTCTAGATTCAGTCGAATAGCAAGTAATAAAAAGCGCAAGTCAATTTGTTTATTCACTTCTTCCGCTTCGAAGAAAACTGCTGTTTCAACGTCAATACGCTTAATTTTCAATGTCATATAATTATTAAATCCCTATTGTGACAGTTATTGTGTATAGAAAACCCTGGGAGAAACCTGTATCCAGTACCCCCACTCGAGTACATTTCCCAACAGAAATTTCAGTCTCCTTTCACCCATCAGTTCATCCGTAATTGGTTCTAGGTTTCGTCAAGTAATTATTAGTTACATCATAGTCTATCTACTTGATTAATTTCTTCAACTTCAAAGAAATCTGCTGCTTCACTATGAACTGAAGCTTCGTTTCCCAAGTTATAGGTTTTTTTTGCGTTTGCCGAGGAAAACATGTATCCAATATTTCCATAGCTTTCCACTCGTTCCTCGTTCAACTGTATTTGCCTCGCAGATTCAGTCTAGTGGAGAGTGATAGAAGGCATATGACTAATGTTGCAAAGCACACTCAGTCTACTTGATATTCTACTCTCCATGAAAGAGTGCTGGTTCATTCCAGTGTTAAAATACGCTCTATGAGGGATAGGCATCAGCGGTGGCCGCAGTAGACTCTTCGGTCTCCTGATCAGTCGCCGTGCGCTGTGCGGGTTCGAGTCCCGTCCCAGGAGAAATGTTTCTCTTGCTATGGATGTTGTGATTGTCCGTAGGTGGTAGACGGTCTCTGACTGTCGAACGCGGAGGTACCACCCGGCGGATCTCGTAGTTGGAGTATAAAAAAATGTAGGTAGTTTTAAATGGCTTTATTGTTTTTCGAAGTATTCTCCACGAAGATTAATACACATCTGCATGCGCCCGAACTAATTTTCGAAGCACTTATTCCACTCGTTTGCTGGCAGATCCAAAACGGCATTTTTAAATGCGTCAACTGCTTCTCCTGGTGACTGGAACCTTGAACCACGCAGTCTGTTTTTAATTTTCGGCAAAGTGAAGAAATGGTTAGGACTTAGATCGGGACTATATGGAGGATGGTCCAATAATTCCACGTTTTCTTCCGTGAAATACTGCCTTGTTTTTTTGGGCTGTGTGCGAGCTTGCATTGTCTTGGTGGAGGATGATTCTTCTTTCGGGGTTGATTTTTCGAAGCTCGATGATGACCTTTGGCAAGCAAATGGTGGTATACCAATCCACAGTAACAATTCTTTGCTCATTAAGAGGAATTGTTGCAATATGACCCGCTTTTGACACAAATGTCGCGACCATCTTTTTCGAAACACTTCGAGAACGGATGACTATTCTTGGCTTTTCTTCACCTTGGAACACCCAAACAGCCGACTGTCGTTTATTTTCTGGTTCATAACAGTAAATCCACGATTCATCACCACTAACAATGCTGTACACATGTTTTGAGTTTCCGGAATTGAAACGGTCAAGCGTTTTTTGACACCAATTAACCCTGGCTGCTTTCTGCTCTTCAGCCAACAGGTGGGGTATCCAACGAGAAACTAATTTTCTTACTCCTAATTCTTCATGTAAAATTTTTTGAATTGTGGTCTTTGAGATCTTCCAAGGTCGCCTCAATCTCGCGATATGTCACATGTCTATCTTCAATGATGAGTTTGCGCACAACATCGACGTTTTCCTGGGTGAGTGCCGTTTTTGGTGCACCCACCGTGGGATCGTCACTAAGACTCACCCGTCTACGTTTGAATTCTCCATACCAACGGGAAATTGTCGACTGATGTGGCGCTTTGTTGGCGAACAAAGACAGTAACTTAGCAAGGCATTCTTGTTGCGATAATTGTCTCTGAAAGTTGTAATAAATTATGGCGCGAAAATGTTCTCGGTTGAGTTCCATTTTTCTAATGACTTGGTGACACTTAAAAATTCACTGTAGTGAGAACACTGCACGTATTGTTGTGAAACTTTGAATTTAGGTTAACTAAAGAGTGAGGTTAAGATTCAGTACTGACGTTCGATCCGCGCGGCCTACTATGTTTCTATATGCAAAACTTAAAAGACATCCCTCGTATATTCCTGTGCACAAGATTTAACTATTTGCCACGACGCAACAGCTGTTGTGTACCCTAACTGTGTTACGTATTGTGTGTGGAAAACCCAATACCTTCACCCAAGTACATTCCACAACAGGAATTTCCCTAGCTTTCCACTTGTTCCTCGTCCATCCCATTCGTTCATCCGTAATTGCTTCTAGGTCCAGCCGAGTAGTAAGGGGCGTAGCGAGGCGGGTAAGGAGGGAGTTGGCACAGCGAACAAGAAAATAAAAAGCCCGCCGGACAACCATTAGAAGCTGCGAGCGCACCCTAATTACTGAGTTAACGGCGCCATAACGCCGAGAGGAAAAACGCTCGGAAAAACAACCTCTAATTTCCACAGACCGGCTCTAGTTAATTTCCTTTTAAACAATCGCGTTTTGATGGAGCCGGACTCTCATATTAGGCACAATGGATGAAGCTAATGGGTCCGTATGCGGCCATGTCACTATTCCAGTTCCAGTGTTAGAGAGTTATTGAGACTGCATGTTAAACCAGGACTCTGCGGGAAGCTTTTGTAGTTACTCCTTTTTGTTTCTATTTTCTGTACAAGCATTACCATGAAAAGTCCTTCAAAACTGCGGATGCTAGCTTGTTTCGTGCTTTAGGTATCCGGACACAGAGGAGTACCGGGTAGCAGTGTTGCCATAATGAAGGATTTTCCCCCAAATTTGGAAGATTTTCACTTTTTGTCATTTGTAAGTTCGTAAACCTGTGGCGGAGTACCGGACAATGAGAAAGCTGATTGCCTGGCTAGGATGTGTGCCAAAAGCACCTGCATCGTTCCCGAGCCCACCGGAAACTGCAGAATGGTGGCATACCTGCCTGTATTCACCTCCCCACAACTACTGACACGTATCTATAGTCATATAACAGAAAAAACAGAATAGTAAGATGTGAACCAACCGGTTGATCTAACTATTCTTGTTTCACACGCTTCGCAGATAGAAATCACCTCTTCTCATTAATGTAGTGTTTTGGAAGTTAAAAGTACCAATTCTGAGACATTTTTGTGTTTGTTCTGGGGAATTGTGTCCGACTCATCTGGCAACACTGCGGCGTAATGAGGAAGCAGATTATCTGACTAGGCTGGAGCCAGGGGCTCCTGCCTGGGTCCCGAGTCGAGGTTGAGTATAAGCATGCGCCAGGTCGCACTTGACGGTAGACATATAAAGAGCTGAGAAAAGTGTGACGAGAGAGAGGTGTCTCCAATCAGGCCAAGAGGTTCGTAGCTAGCCCCGACAAATGAGGGTCGCGCTGGCGACCGGATAATCTGTTGGTGTAAGTTCTCACCGACTACTGTACGCTGAACAGTCACATGTCCCTTCTAGGAGTAAAAACACAACGACTGATTTCCATCTGCCCATATTCTGGGAGGAGGACGAGATGGTGCTCCACCTCCTAGGCTTCTGCCACATATATTGATGTCAGACGGCTGAAATATTCAGAGCCATGGGGCTTTGATAGTGCAGTCACATACTCAGGGGGTAGAGTGTTGGTACACACGTGGTCGCAAGTGCCAAATCTGGTGTAATTGCCAGGATTCGCCACTGGTGAATTATCAATCAGTATTATCAGTCTAGTCTAGTGTGTACCTTTCAAAATTTAGTCTAAAATTCCAGGACAGTTGCAAGCAACTTCAAGTGCTTTGAAATCGGTGCTACAAAATGCATCGATATCCAACCAAAAATGATTCAACAACTAATAACAATGCTAACGCTTATGTAAATATTTGCCCACTAAGACGTGAACATTACACTTTCTGATGTTGCCGCTCTAGGTTGCTTGATTTTATTTTCATATTCAAACGTACTTCAAGTTATAAAGTAATTATTAGTAAGATCGACGGTATGTTTAATCTACATATACTTCCATGAAATGTCTATATTTCACAGACACAATAAAATTAAATGCCTATATTAAATACCGTTAACCTAATTATATTATCTCATTAACATTGTTTATAGACGATACGATTATAATATAATTAAAATTTATGTAAATCCTGACACGTATCTGTTTTGTTCAATACAGTACAAATCACATTATAATAAGCCATAATTATACATACCTAAAAAATTGCAGAAATGGAATTGAGTACCGGTGTTTTACATGTATGGAAGTTTTTCATCAGGTGTGGTCCATCGGGTGTCCAAGAGTAGGTATGTTGTCCGCAGCCTCATCTGGACCATTTATCAACAACAATTTTAATTGTTAAACTTACCTATACTATTAGAACTTTAACTCCTTTAAATGTATTGCTGTCTTTCTAGGGCTCAAGGTTAAGAAACGCTGATCTATGAAGCCATGTGAAGCATATCGTGATAAAATGGAGAAGCGTTTTTGACTGTTTCTGCTAATACTTATGAGTATTGCGTGAGATCACGCAATAACGTATTTTCGTCATTTTTTTTTTCGCGAGGAAAACCTTAATCGTGAATTCGCTGAAGTCACGAACAAACTACGAGTATATTTCTTATTTTGTGTGAATGAAAGCGAATTTTACACACTAAATGCACACCTCGTTTGATATTACCCCGTCTATCTGATTGAGAACCAAATTTGGTTGGACATGATGTTTTGAGGAATGGTAAATGCCGTGTAAAGAGTTGAGCAAAAATAACTGCGCGATGCATTTGCTATGTGAGAAAAATTAAAACAAGTGTAGTGGTGAGCTTTAGAATAGCACAGGCTGAATAAGCTATGGATGCTTTCCGTCTCTATAATCATAACACCACATACAACTTGTGGCGGGCAAAGGTTGACTTAAGGCAACCCTTTACTTATTTATGCATGGGAAAACTCCATAGAACTTCGCCAAATGAACTATTAGGCTGTATTTAATTAAATGATCTAAACGTTAAAGCGTAAGAGGTACAAATTATCAGTAAACCTGACTACCGAATGACCGACTTCAATATCTACTGGGTGCCTCGGCTGCTACCAATATACCCTTAGTAAAAGCCAAGCCCACACCCAAGCCTTAACAAAATGGCGGACCACGTCCCTCGACCTCAAATAGGATTGCATAAATTGATCAGGACCTCAAGACCCTTGGCTAAAAAACGAGATCCTTTTGAGGATCACTTCAGATACGGATATAAAACCCCCCTCGCAGGTATATCTCCGAAAGCAAATATCATTTAGCTTCCTGCTATGTGTTGGCTTTGGGGATTCAGTGTGAGTACCTGTGCATCGCTCGTGAGAGTACAAAGACAACTGGGATCTGAATGCCCATTCACTCTCTTACGCTTAAGATGTTACACACAGGCATTTGAGTCGACCATTCAGAGTCGAGCTGTGCGTTCTCGATTCAGAGCCAGAAAATTCCATAGACCAGTCAATTAGGGAATTTTGAAATAACATTACCGCTGCATAGTCCCACTAATTCATAAGTGAATAAGGCACGACTGTGATTTTATTCAATTATATATTACAAAAAGGAGAAAAGTGTAATAAAGAAACGAAGAGAGAGAATACATATTTGCAGAGATTCCTCCCATCATAAACGGGTCGATTAAAGGATTCTGTTCCGTACGTTCCGTTCCGATCAACGAATAGATTAGAAGGACTCAACCCTATATGTTTACATTGCCTTGCTTGTCGTCAAAGTTCGGTAGTTTTAGCTCATACTTTTGACTTATCTGTCTATCAATGCAGACCAAAGTGACAGCGTTGTATCAACATAATAATACGTACCGGTGAAAAAATCTACCTTCATTTGGCTTGTGCCGCTCTTTGAAAATTATGTAAGAAGTACCAAGTCGTGAAATCGAAACACCACAATTATCTGCCAATACTCGTACTTTTAAAAAATAAATGTTTAACGGCAACTGTCAAAAATGCACTTATGTCAAGTGCGCTTTGATCATCACTACAAAGTATTAGAATTAGCGGACAAGCAAATCCTTGACTGGGTTCTTCTACCTAGTCTGAATTTATTGGGTACGATCGAGTCAATGTCACTCGATGACCTTAGTGACAGATTGGATCCGCATGGGTATCATGTAAAAAACGTATAAAACGTCAAAAAAAACCTAGAAGATGTCATCTTGCAAACTAGCTAGTTTTTCGGGCGCAAACAGTCATTCCACGTTTGCTCACTAGGATCGTTGTGAACGTCCATCTAAGGAGGAATCACTCAACTAAGCTACACG